TTTCCCTACCGATTATCCTAAAGGAGGAATAATGATGATCAAAAAATATTTTAAACATTTAGATGTCACAAGATACAAATCGATCAGATATCGGTAATTCAATTTTTCAAATGTGTATAACAAATAAAATTGGATATGTGATATGTAAATTAGACAACAAACAACCAGAGTTCAAAAGACGACGATGAAAACAACTATAGCTAATGTATAGGACACTGTACGGAAATGAACAATGAGCAAAGCTTGTACTGTTACACATGTGTTTTAGTGCCTAAAACTTTTTGGGTCCCCACAGAAAACTGCAAAAAGATCAAAATAGCCTTATTTTGAGGTCGTATCATAAATATTTAGATATGAACAATCTCCTTGCCATAAAAAAAAATGTTATTTAAAGATGTCTTATACAAAGATATCAATATGGATGACATATCTTTTTGGTTTTTTTTAAATTATCATATAGGTCAAATATGTTCAATATGTTAATGACATCACAGTGACGTCAACAATATATTCAACATGTTAATGACGTCACAGTCAACGTTTACATGTTTTGTAATATGGTGTGCAGATTAGATCAGACTATTCATTAATGAATTGAACTAATATAATTTTCAATTACGGACTTTCCGTTTTGAATTTTCCTCGGAGTTCGGTATTTTTGTTATATTACTTTTTTTTCAAAAGGTTGGATGAATGGTACAATATCGCAATTGCAGGGGAAAAATAATAGCTTTAATATCAATACTTTTATAATAACAGTAGAATATTTTTGCTTGATTTCAATTCTTGAAACTATTCGTAATCAATGGGAGTTTACTGAGAAAAAATAAAATTTATGAAGGAATCTTCAGGAAATTGTTTCTATGTAATGTTATAGAAGGGGAAAAAAACCAAACGTGACGTTGATATTCTGAAAGCATTTTATACAAGCTGTCTTCTTATATTTTATTCTATCATTTTGTTTCCCTTCTATTTTTATTATGATGCTTTTTCTCTGTATGATTCATACAAACTGTCTTTTTTAACAACCTGTAGCTTGTAAACATGCTCGCTTATCAATCATTTTTATATTATTGTTTTATTTTTGGCCATGGCGTTGTCAGTTTGTTTTCGATCTACGAGTTTGACTGCCCCCTGGTATCTTTCATCCCTTCTTTACTAATCATTTTTACATTATTTTTTTGTAAATATCACAATATGTACTACATTTTGAAAAGTACAAAAAACTCTATCATTTGTTTGTGTATACTCACATACCACCTTAAGTATATAATATTATATACCTATTTTTCTTGGCTTTCCTGCTGAGAAGGTATTACCGAAAAACGCATCGGACGCACGAAATCTATTTGGTTTTAATCAAAAGTTATCAACAATAGAATAATGAATACAATTTTATAACATGGTTATTTTGACATACAATTTTTTCTTGACAAAATGAACACTCTAACTAGCTATAATTTAGAATAGTAAACTTTGACAGGACTTAACCATAATCATGCCTATACGGACTAGCTATAGGTTTAGATACACTTACCCTCCAATTAAATATTTGGTTAATATTTGTCTTTGATATGCACGGAGCGCTCTTAACGCCATTTTCTATTTCAAATATATCGCATACCGGAAACCGTTAAAGTGACAGAGAAAGTTGTCATTTCACTTACAGCAAAAACTCCTCATAATTCTTTGACAAAGGCACATGTACTTCTTTCTGGTTCCGGGGTTTCGTAGAACGCGATCATGTGATAATGACTGTTGAATATTTGTGATGTTGATGACTATATTCTATACCACTGACAACTCTATCAGTTAAGGTTATTTAGAAATATTCATACTAGTCATCTTGGAGACAATAACTGTAAAATTTCTTCTAAAATATTGAAACAATCGGTCGACCTGGAATCCGATCTTTGTGTATATTTGATAAGATGAAGAATATCCAGGTTTTGGTGTTGTGTTCCATGGCTAACTGTCAAAATGACCAAACTTTCATCATCATTACACCTTTTTCAACGTTTATTGAAGGCTTGATATGAACTTCATATTAACTGTCATCATGGATATGTGGCCAACGGCTTCATAGAATAAAGAAAACTTACAATTCCCCAATTCTTTGTAAAACAATATGTATAAACGATACCTGTCTATGTGTTTCTTTATTCTACATTGTCTAGAGGTATAGGAAAGGGTTGAGATCTCACAAAACATGTTTAACCCCGCCGCATTTTTGCGCCTGTCCCAAGTCAGGAGCCTCTGGCCTTTGTTAGTCTTGTATGTTTTTTTTTAATTTTAGTTCCTTTATATGTTTTGTAGTTTAGTGTGACGTCCATTTTCACTGAAACAGTACTCAATTTTATTTACGGGCCAGCTGAGGACCACTTCCGGGTGCGGGATTTTCTCGCTGCGTTGAAGACCCAATGTTGGACTTCGGCTGTTATCTGCTCTTTGATCGGGTTGTTGTCTCTTTGACATTTTCCCCATTTCCATTCTCAATTTTATTAAAATTTTATACACCAGACGCACGTTTTGTCTACAAAAGACTCATTAGTGACGTTCGAATAGACAAGATAAAGTTTAAATATTAATAATGTTGAAGAGCATTGAAGTCTAAAAACTCCGTAAATCTTGCAAACAGCTTAGTTAAGGTAATATATTCCTTGGAAAGAAACCTTTGGTATTTCGAACAATTAAAATTTTTGTAACCAGTTAAATCAGATAAACTTGATATTTTCATTACAGCGGTAATGGATAACACTTCCTTTATTTCTGGGTTTAGAAACAACAATTTGACATTCTTGTTCTTTAAAAGTTTACATAATAGTCCTGCTACTTTTTCCGATTTGTTTTACAGGATTTTATACATTGATATTTAAATGGCATTACTGATTCCGAGTTTCATACACGTTCTTTGTTACTCTCTTATTCATATGCTGGGCATCACTATCGTGAAACAAAGTAGCTTTATTTAACAAAGTTGTCAGGTTTTTTTTAAGAAAACTGATTTTGCCATGCTTATATTAAATATGACAGGTGAATACACTCGTTAGTTTAAAAAAAACAATACATGGGCACAACGGGGGCGCGTTTTCTTTTAACTTTCAATTCATTTTTCAAAATCCCCTGTTCTTAAATGGGACAGTAATAAAATGTTACCAGTGTCTGAGCAGAAAGTTGATGAATCAGGATTATATCAAAGAACGTCTCGTTCTTTTTCTTAAAAAGTTCATCGGAAGATACTAAGACCTTGTTGATAAATATTCCGTATCAACTTCACCAATACTAGTAATACATGATAGTCTTGAGGTATAGATTCTAGGTACTGACGTTGTTTATCATCTATTATCACGTGTTATAGTGTTCTTTTTATTTGTCTTTGAAAAGTTTAACCTGTACTGTTTAGTCCATTTTTTGGTATATACTTTTGGCGTGGCTAGGTATTTATAAATCCTGCCATTGTGTTATTGTGCTATGGTCATTTTTGTATTCTTGTCTTTCATTTTTCCTTATGTACTTTGTCTATAGAGTGTCTATATGCCATTTTGTAAATGATGTATCGACCATCTGTTTGCTTTTTTGTTGATCTTACAAAAGATTTAAAACAAGATTGCTCAGAAGTATATGTGTCAATATCTATTAAGTTATAACCATATTTACCTGTGTATCCGCTAAATTGTAAAAAGTGCACTTAATTATTATGTTGATGTAATGCATATTGAACGTTTTTATTATATTCTTTTTCGTTCATATGAAACACACTACTTTAGATTAGAATTAATGTTCTAGACATTGTTGTATTAAAACGTACTGATCAGCCGTGGATTAATCATTAGTATTCTAAAAATATTTCAACTTCGGTAAGTTCTGTAAGTTCCGATAAGATATTTTTCCCCATAGGATTCGGCCGTCTCTTTTAGGTATTGTCATTAGTATCAAACATTACTAGAACAACTGTGCACTTTAGCGTTTTCCACGCTGTACTTTCAACTGGTATACACAGAATAAACATGATACGTTAATTACACAGATTAGACAATAAGATAATTAAAAAGCTGAAGAAAAGATTGTTTAATCCACAGTTTTCTACATAAGGAAATGCTTGTACCAAGTCAGGAATATAGCAGTTGTCTTCCATTCGTTTGAAGTGTTCGAGCTTTTGATTTTGCCATTTGATAAAAGACTTTCCGTTTTGAGTTTTAAGTTTTCCTTGGAGTTGGGTTTTTTTTTTGTAATTTTACTTTTTATTGCTGTCCAGAATTTTTCATACAGAACAGATCAAGAATAAACTAAATTTATTGTTTGGATTTTTTACTTCGAAAAAAACGATACAATAAGATATAACACGATAAGAAGAATTAAAAATTAAAGGGAGCATAATAAAGGTTTTCATCCATTTTGATCGATAGCAATCATGTTGCATTTGTTTGTGATACAGTTTATTATATAAGTTTTCATTTTTAATACACCACGGTCAACATAGCGACCAATTTTGATTTTAATTCACCAATGAGAAGACGTTTTAGTACAAACTATATTATAAAAGTTTCTATTTGTCATAAGTCTCACCTATTTAATTTACATTTAGTACATAGCAATTGGATTCTTGAATTATTGTATAACAAATTGTTTTTACGGTGTGTTACAACTGTTCCCAATTGTAGGCCAACGTTTTTTTGTGGATTGATGACCCAAAAGAAAGCTCGTTCTTGTCTACAAATGTACAAACAATCAGCTTTGTTATACAAATGTTTGATTTATAGTATTTTCATATGTTGAAAGTTAAAATTTAGGCCATTACATGTTTTTGCTTCTGATAGAAACAAAGGCATTATCCAAATCTTGTAAGGTAAAAAAATGGGAACCGTGTAAACTATAATGATGATTATTAGTAACAAAATATTTCAATTTATAAATTTTCAATATGTTGTATCAAATAATATTTTTATCTGTTTAGTAAAAACGATCATATTACGTTCTAGATTATTTGAATTATTTTCCAGCAAAAAAAGGCCAGAAAATGGACAGCATGCATGGTTTAGTTCTGGTACTTCTAATGGTATTATGGATTTTGGCAGGTAAGTTGGGTGGATGGATTGATTCTTTCTTTTCTGTCCTGATCTAGGTCAGACCAGTTCTTAGACAGATTATTCAGAACAGAGGTTAGAATTGATTTCAACTTTAAGAATGTAAACCGGTTTTTATTAACTATTACATTTTGAGAAAAAAAAACATGATATATCATTCGACATTAACATGATTAACTAGAAAGAGAAAGAGAAAAACACAAATCACGAATGGATAGTTTGAACTTGTTGTATGAATACCCAACCCTCCCACTACTACTCTTTTTAATACACTTGCACAGTTTACTTCTGAAATAACGTTTACCAATTTACTGCAAATGTGCATCTTAAATATTCTGTAGAAATGTTGAAATGGCTTACACCATTTACATGTTGTAATGCATGTAAAAACCATCAGATTATTTAAAGTATAGAAGCATTGATAAATTATGAATATGCTAAACATTTAAAAACAAATACAAACTGCAAACACAAGTAGATGCAGTAAATATTACACAGATTACATTTTATTTAAGAAAACTTACAAACAAAAATACAACAGGAATTATCAAAATCAAAAATATTGGACACTACAACAGACAATTATGATTGGTCTTAATAATCTGACTTGGTACTATACAAGCACAACATGGGCAGGGTTAGATTCATCTTAGGTCCACATACCCTCCTCTTTTGTCTGGATATTACTCATTGTTGGAGGCTTAACAATGACGTATACTTGCTAACATTTATGTCTTACGGTCTCTGGTGAATAGTCGTCTCATTTTTTGGCAATCATGCATTATCTCCTTTTTTATATAAACGCTCACCTCAGGTTTCATAAACTCCCATCGTATATTTAATAAATGAGAAGATATCAACTTCGTACTCTATTTGGCCTTTTTAACTTTTTTGTTTCGAGCGTCACTGACGTGTCTAGACAAAACGAACGTCTGGCGTGCAAAATTTTAATGCCTGGTATCTATGATGAGCTTATTTACTACCACTGGGTCGATGCCACTGCTTGTGAAGGGTATAACCAGCCAAGTTGTCAACACTTCCGTATTGTCATGAGTTATCATTGAAATAGTAATAATTATGAATTAACTGTTTACAAAATTTGAATTTTTCGAAATACTATGGATTTTCTACCCTAGGAATAGATTACCTTTGCAGTATTTGACAAAACCTTTCGTAATTAGAGGTCCGCAATGCTCGTAAACTTCGTACTTTATTTTGGCCTCATTAACTTTTTCTGATTGCAGCATCACTGATAAGTCGTTTGTAGGCGACACGCGCGTCTGGCGTGCAAAGTTTTAATCCTGGTATCTATGATGTGTTATGATAAGACGAATAATTTGGTCCATACAATTCAAATATCAAATGTATTGTAAATATACCAAATAACATCCTAAAAGTTTTCATAAGACAATCATCTGTTGGACCTCAATACTTTTATTTTTGAATGCTGTCTTCCATATTGGCACTAAGGCTTCAGACTTTTAACATTTAGTTCAAAATTGTAAAATCTGCAAATTCTGATATCTTGTCATTCATATTTGTATCTGAGCAACAGCGTTACACCAACTAGTACTCTGCTACAAAATGTATTTTACAAAAAGGTTAATGTGTGTAAAAGCTGCTGCTCATATATCATGTATATATATTGACCAAAAACTATGCATGATATTGTTATTTTAGGTGAATTACTTAAATTTCGACATTTTCATAATGTACTAGTGACATTTCAAGGGACCCTTCTGCACTTTATATCAAGTTTATCTTCAACTTGTTCATTTATCATTTAATCAACATTTTGAAAGGCTTGACAGTTTGCTATTCATGATGTTTCAGGGCAAAATATGGCTTATATCATACCTCCGCCTTTGCTACATTTAACTGTGATACATTATATTTAATATCTGTATCTTCTTTTAACAGCTAAGTACGTAGCAGCAAGAGGTATTACACAAACATTGATGTGGAAATCTGATGGAATTAATGCAATGAATAAACGTCAAGATTTTTTTTTACCAGGTAATAGTGTGCAATACAATAAACAAGATAAATCTTGATTCTAAATTACATACAATTCAATAAACAAGATATGATTTACCAATTACTTATATGTAAATACAATACAAGAAACAAGATCTGCCTTGACAATGTATATATGTACAATACAATGAACAAGATAAGATTTACCAATTACTTATATCTAAATACAATACAAGAAACAAAATCTGCCTTGGCAAGGTACATATGTACAATACAATAAAAAAAAAATGTTTTCCAAGTACTGATGTGCAATACAATACACAATTTCAAGATATATTTTACCAGGTTCGTATAACTATATAAACTGTATAAGCTAGATACGTTTGACCGAATACTTATGTACAAAACAAAAAAAAGTTTGTTTTACCAGGAACTTTCGTACAAAACAATTAAAAACATGTGTTTCAATTGTGTCACATTTTGCCAAGTCGGGCCCTTTTATAGCTGACTATACTGTATGATTTTGCTAATTATTGAAGATGTTAACATCCACATAATTTTAGACGCTAGTGCACACTTGTCTCATCTGCAATCATACCACATCTCCTAATTTGTTAAAAAAATAAGTAATTTTTCAGGAGCATGTGCATGATAGAATAGAAAATATATGTCTTTTCAAAGTACTCATGTGCAATACACAAAAACGAAGATAAGTCTGTTGAATGTATTTATGCTAAATAAAATAAACAATGTATGTCTTTTGCCACTATGCATTTGGAACACGTTAACACAGGTAGTTAATGTTTATATTATTTCTATAATAAGCAGATGTTTTACGATTTTATAATCTATTCATTTTGTAGATGATCTCAAAAGCATTTATCGAATTCACTCTTTACTCAAAACTAACTTAGAGGATATATATTTTGCCGATAGTTTAAACAACTATGGATGTTGGTGTGCACAAAACGGAACTAGCAAGCCTGTTGACGAATTAGACAGGTATAGATTTTATTTTGGACAACGTTCGTACCCGAAAGAATTTCAAGAACAATTTTTCTGACCACAATACATTTTTAACGTTAACATTTTGGTCTAATAGTTGGATTATTTAAAGAAATTACGACGAAACATTGATATCGATGTCAATACAAAAGAATCTTATTTCGGAAATTACCTTAACCGGGCACGTCGATTAACAAACGCTATGATTGAAACAAGATAAGAATCAAACGAAATAGTCTGAATTAAGGTAGCTGAGGTGTCTTCCTCCATCTTTTATTTTGAAAAAGTAGATAACAATCAGTCTAGGTCTTTAATGAAATGGGCAAATTTGAGACTAGTATGTTATTCATATGCAAGACTTTTCATGTTAATATAGAAAATTGGGTGCTCTATCATATTTTACGGCTGTATTTTACAAGAAAACAGAATATTTTTGTTTGATTAAATTTTTTTCAACTTTGCCACATCAGTGGAGATAACTCAGATAAAATAACTTGTATAATATTATGTGTTATGAATTTACCTATTGTATTATGTAACAAGAAAACGAGTCCGTTGACCCCAATTTTTCTTTTTATCTGAAATCATATTTAATAAGACCTATCTTCTCATATTTTATCTCAAAATTTTATGTTTAGTTTTCTTTTTATCACGTACAATTGGGTTTCCATGCATATCCTATAAAAAATCCGACAATGTTGCACAACCTGTAGCTTGAAAAAAGCCCGGTGACCTATACTTTCTACTATTTTGAAAAAAAAAGTATGACATAAACTACATTTTGACAATTTATTTAAAAACTTCTATGGATTTTTTATTTAGACTCTCCGTCTACATATACCTTAAAACTATATAGATAGAAAGGAATGAGCATATTGTATCAATTTATGGAATTAATCCCTACACACTTGACAAAACGGCAATGGTGAAGTGCTGTTATGGCTGTTCTTCTGATCAAAGTTTCACCGATGCCTTCATCAAGACGCATACGGATGCAATGTTGTCAAAGTTTTTGAATTTTGATTCTTCATTCGGTATATACAGCCCGTATGCATCTTTTGTTGTAATCCTGTGTAAGGTTCTTTATTTATTTTACCGCAAATCTTTTTCTACACCAATTTTAGTCTTTGAAGATAGTTCAGGTGTCTAAATGCTCAGAGATAGATTTTTCTTAAACTTCTGTAAAAGACTATTGGGTCAATGTATTTTAAAAATTCAATAAAAAATATTTGGAGTCATGGATCTTGTTTTTTTTTGTTAAAATATATGGAAATTAACGAATTCACGGCTATTTTATATGAATATCAAGCTATAAAACCAGGTTTAATCCACCAATTTCTACAAAGGAAATGCCTGTACCAAATCAGGAATATGATAGTTGTTTTCCATTCTTTGTCGGCGTTCACCTCAAAAGCTAACCAAACCTTTGAACAGACTTATTCAGAAAGGGATATAGTTACGATACTGTTGTCAAGTCATTAAGGATTGCATATTTTGGTATAAATATTGATTCACTCATAGGGTTTTTGTATCGGAAATAAACACATTTATTCTAAAACTAGTTGTTGGCATGATACGGGTTATGTTCTTCTCATATATTTTATGATGGTATGATACTAAACCCCTAACGGGAGGGATTGTACTTGATATTCATATGACGAAGACATAATCTTTAAATCAGTTTAATTGAGGTCTGGAGCTGGCATGTCAGTAACTGCTAGTAGTCCTTTGTTAATTTATGTATCTTTGTCATTTTGCTTAGTTTCTTTTGTTATCTATCCTGACATCGGACACGGACTTCTTTTCAACTGAGTTTTACTGTTCGTATTGCTGTGTGTTTCTTTATTCTACATTGGCTAGAGGTATAGGGGGAGGGTTTAGATCTCACAAAACATGTTTAACCCCGCCGCATTTTTGCGCCTGTCCCAAGATCGGAGCCTGTGGCCTTTGTTAGTCTTGTATGTTTTTTAATTTTAGTTCATTTATATTATTTTGGAGTTTAGTATGACGTCCATTTTCACTGAACTAGTACACTTTTTTATTTAGGGGCCAGCTGAGAACCACCTCCGGGTGCGGGATTTTCTCGCTGTATTGAAGACCCATTTGTAGCCTTCGGCTGTTATCTGCTCTTTGGCTGGGTTGTTGTCTCTTTGACATATTTCCTTACCATTCTCAATTTTATTTGATGTGTTTGAGCTTTTTATTTTGCCATTTGATAAAGGACTATCCGTTTTGAATTTTCCTTGGAGTTTTTAATAGGAGAAGCTTATTGTTTCCTTTTGCGGGAACATTTAACGATAGGATTGGTAAAAATTCAATGAGAGAATTGTTTTTCATAAATACTTCTGAGATTTAAATAATAATAGGGGTCACGGATCTTATTTTATTGCAAAGGAGGCGATCAGACCAATAAATCACGACCAAAAGAAGAACGAGACAAAAAGAAAACCAACCACCAAAAAGAACACTACACATTCACATCTGTTTGCTCAACACGCACCTCTTCAAAAACGAGCTTCAAATGCGGCACTGAGGCTGAATCACGATTTCTTTTTGTGTGGAAAACATAAAATAAAACAGGAAGTTGAATTAACAAAATGCAACAAAAGGAATAACGAATATATGCAAAACTAATACATTAACAAAAAGAATTATAGCACTATAAAGTCGCCTTAAACGGTAAAAATAGGATAAGTTCACTTAAAATTTATCTTCTATTTTTTTAACGAAAATCTCATTGAAAGTTAATTGTCAAACAATCACATACCGTATAGCGGGTTATTTTCGCGGGGTGTATATTTTCGCTTATTTTCGCGGATAGAACAAAATCGCCAAAATAAATTCCACCAATTTAAAAGTGCACATTCAATAATATTGATAAAAGTTTTGAACCGCCAAAATGATAACTGCCAAATTATTTGGTATACCTTATTCAATAAAATCGCGAAATTTTACACCCGCGAATATACGAAGAAAAGAAGAACAGAAGAAAAGATAGAGTGGGATATAAGTCAATAAGGCAGCAAACAAACGACTAAAATAAGCGAAAGACTTGTTTACATATAAATGAATGCAGCTTTATTTTTTTTACTTAGATGCTGTTTAGAGCACCAGATGTGTTTCAAAAAAATATTGTTAAAAGGTTGTCCAGTGTCATCTAGATATTACTCCTATGAACAGTGTTTTGACTCAAATATTAAATGCAGTAAGTTAATTTAAATAAATTATGTGTACACTTGATAATAGAAATATAAAATGTGTTTCAATTGAAAGAGGTTGCTAAAATGAAATCTGTGTTAATATGATAATTTCTGTTTTCAGTAAGCATGCCTTTTTGATAGTTTTGACTGTATATAAAAGTTTTATTGTGTAATGTTTTTGCAGTTTCCATAGACAATTTAGTGTCAAAAATATGTGACTTTTACTGCATGCAGCATCTGGGTCTTCTTAAGGGTCGTTTAACAACTGTGGAAGGAAATCTTTTTTGAAATATGCAAATGTTTACTACTTGTGATAGAATCGTAACGTGTGTTGCTTTTGTGGTATACTAGTTATATTTTTTATTATGACAATGTATATTACACAAATTTTTATTTTTATCTTTTGGGTTTTTTTTTTTACTAATTGTAATCTTTCAAGTCTGATTTTAGTATGTAAATGTATAGTTAAATTGAAATGGATGGTGGAAAATCATTGTGCTTTATATAATATCTACTGTGATACTTAAGTCGGGGTGAGATATTCAACGTTTTATGTATTTATTCTTTTGTATTCACTGTTGGAGATTTACCCCTAACAGATGTTTCAACATTTGCGGAATTTTAAAGATAACAGATACCATGGAGTTGTAGTACATACCATATCATTTATTTATTCACGATGGACACTAGAAACAACTATAGTTCTATTGTCTTATTGTTTGTTTAACGTTTAATGGCAAATATATAATTTATATCTAGGACGAGAAAAAAATAAACATTTAAAACGAGATCGTGGTTTTGCTAAGTTGGTATGCACGATAAATGATGGAACATTTTGACTGCAGCTGGAAAACGAGCTATTCATGTTTACCTTACCACAAGCCAGCTACAGACCATAAAAGAGATGTTGCAAAGGTTCTTTAACGTAGAGTAAAGAAAATTATTTTGTCAAACTCCTATTGATTTTGTTTTAATTTACACAATAGTGCATACATTGTGACTGTAACAAGCACATGAAGAGTGTGACCGTGTTAAAAATTGTAGGGTTCTAAACCTTTCTGTGACCTAGTGGTATTACAGCTTAACATTTGGAAACAAAGAGAAATTGAAAAAGAACAGATATGACAGAACTATCTAAAGAATATAGCAACTAAAATAATGAATACATACACAAAGTATCTCTCTGTCAGTACTTGCAGCTGCTAACTGCGATTTAAAGCACAATTTCGAGTAATATATATATACCATGTTTTCCATACTAACATATCATTGCACCTCCCACGTATTTTACTAGTAACTATGATCATGAAAATTTAATCCTGAAAAAAATCTTCAGAGATTCTCTTACTTGACTGTTATCTTTGTCAGTTTTCATACAATTGAGTTCAGTATGCATACATTTCTTTTTTCAGCTAATAGGGATAAATGCAAATATAACTTCTGCATGTGTGATATCGAGGCAGCAGACTGTTTGTCAAATAGGAAACTTCAATATAATCAACGATGGAAAGACGGAAATAAAGCTTATTGTATCAAATATGAATGAACGAACAACTAAATCAAACAATGAAAAGATAATGCTTACTAATTCTGGTGCTCTTTGGAACAAAAATGTCTTTCTCTGATAACCATTCTCAATTTATTCGAATATCAAGATTTATTTATTTGTTATGAATATTACAGATTCATTTATATTCTTAAATATACAGTATTGTCTGTTCTTTTGAGTTAATTTTGATATGTATCTTAAAAGGGAGGAGACAATGAGTGGCCATGAATCGAAGTAAAATACACAATGCCGTGACCAAATTAGAAAAAGACGAAAAGATAAACAAGAGTCCATAGAATACTACACAAAACAACTTAAGATAGGGTGATAAGATCCTCACAAAAGAACGGAGATGAATTTCTACTCCAAAAGTTGCACCCGTTCTTTTGCTCATGGCAAGTCAAAATATGGTGATCATACGCATGTGATGATGTCATAATCGAGGCTATGAGTAAAGCCTTGTAGTACGAAAAGTAGGACATATCGATAGTCATCTATGACATCGATTCTCCATAACATTTATTGAAGTCATGATTGCATCTATACAAGTTTCGAGGCGATGAAATTAGTCTTGCCGGGTTTGGCTTTACTTTTTGTCATTTTTTTGTTTCTGTTTTGTTTTGTTTTAACGTTTGTATTTGTTTTGGATTTGCCAAAATTTGTATGACAATCAATGACAAAATATGTTTCGTTTCATTTTTAGGACTCTAGTAATCGAAATTATGATTAAAACCCCCTATTTTCTTTTTGTCTGTTAGACCAGAGCTCATTAATCATGCACGATTGTATACTCGCGTCACAAACGATAACTTTTTAAAGCATATGTGACCCACCATGAAATTTCCAGGTTTATGGAAGTATAAAAAATTATGTGAGTAAAACGCTGTTTACTATAAACGTTACGTCACATTTTGTAAACATACCGAATTGAAAGTCTGGATGAGTTTTAGAATTGGTGCATTGTAAATCCTATTTTTGCTAATGAATAGTTATCAAATATCAATTAAAAAGAACACACACCAATGATACTATACTCACAATTCATTCCATGTACAATGTACGTGAAACACAGGAACAGCGTATAATAAGAATACAATAATACATATTCATGAATGTAGCATTACGACTTTTAGGTTTATTGTATTTGAACATGGTTAAATCTTTTTTCATTTACTTTATATTAAAAATTACTCGTGTAAGTTAAAAAGAGTACCAAAGTCTTGCCTTAAATCGTGATCAAATGAAATTAGGAAGTAGAAAACTTATTAAATGTTCACGCGAAAATAACAAATCGTTACTAATTTACAGTATAATGCAGGTTGCATAGTTCTTAAAATGTCATGAAAGAACATTTTAAAGTGCACCACAATACTATGTTGTAAAATTATCAATATTGTGCAATATTATATATATTTGACTGGGAAAAAAATTGCAGTAATCAAATTTATTGACTTTAAAAGCAATTTTTTGTTCAATTGGTTTTAAATAAACAACCACCTTAATTAATGTTCGGGAGATAGAACACTACAATACAAAATATTCTTTTAGATATCATTTCCAATATTTGTATCGGAGATAGACCATAGATTTTTTTTTAATTCTGTAATATCCCAAATTCTGTAATGCTTGATTTGCTGGGTAAGACTCAAAGATTGAATTGAACATGTTGAAGTAATTATGAAAAAATAAGCATAGTATTGAACAAAATAGGTTTTATAACAATTAATTTAGAGTAGCAAGATCTGAAAAATAGTGGTGATACAATACTATAAGATAAGTTTTCTCTGAACTTTATATGTCCAACTAGTATAGTTCTGGCAAAAACTCGTAGAATATAGAAATCTCGTTTTATAGTTGTATGGGGAGATAACCCATACTATATCAGATATATAAATATCTCCATTTTTATCAAAAGTCGACATTGAATATTATAAAATCACACGACGATTTGTCTACGTTAGGTTCAAATCCTCGAAATATCCACATATAAGTAAATAGAAAGATCAAAAACAATATTAAACATTTATTTCGCCATTTGATAAGGGACTTTCCGTTTTGAATTTGACCTTGATTTCGGTATTTTTGTTATTTTACTTTTTATCATTGAAGTCCAAATAAGTCGTTTTTATGTTAACATGGTAGATTTAAAATATATTTTATTTTATAAGTTAAAGCATGGTACAAATAATGTATAAATTGAAAGTAAAACAAACACTTAAAATTAAAGATTGTTTTAAGATTAAAGTTGATAATCCCAAGATAAAAGTTGATAATTCCAAGATTAAAGCTGATAATTCCAAGATTAAAGTTGATAATTCCAAGATTAATGTCGACAATTTGAAAAAAAATAAATAAAAAGGATGGCCCTAATACGCTTCCGTAAAAACCATAATTATACTTAACAATGTAAGTTAAACTAACAATGAAGATAATACAATTACAATAACTGAAGCCATAAATATTGATTTTCTATTGTACAAAAGGAGATAATTCAGTAAAAAATGCATTTTATTAAATCTCTAAAAAGTATCTATTTTTTCTGCAAATTAAGCATTCTGCTCTTGATACATTATAAGTGTTTCGATGTTTCTTTTCTTTTCATAAAGTAAAATATAAAACAAAGTATACCAAGGTGTAATAAGTGAATGTTTAGACCAAAAAACTGGCTGTGAACTTTATAAGTTAAAGCCTGGTACAAATAATATATAAATTGAAAGCAAAACAAACACTTCAAATTAAAGATTGTTTTAAGATAGTTCTTTCAATTTCCTCTGGTATTTAATGGTCGTTTTGAAGTATTTGTGGAGAAGGCAAACTACTTTACATTGGTTATGTTCTTTTTTGGAAAGTAATGGAGAAGTTTTACGTTATACGTTTTTTTGTTTGAATTTGAAATTACTTTATTATGCATACATTGATAAACAAGCCTTCGAAGTGTTTGAAATTCAAATTTATCTGCTCTATCGAGTTTTGATAGATAAAATCATTAAAAGTGCATCAAAATAATAAATTCACCGTAACTTGAAAACTACGCATAATATAAACCGTTATATAAAGTGTGGTTTTTAATTATTTTTTACAATTTTAATTTTATGTTCACGTGCTTGTCATTTATCCCTTTCGTACATAGATATAATCTTATTCAACTTCATTACAAATTTTATTTCTTTTGGACCTTTAAACTCGTCTACGGGAAAACATTATTTTCCCTATACATGCACTTATCTATCGTGACTGTGACATATCTCGCTAAAACTCTTGTATATGAGCTCTTTTTTTGCAAATACAGTGACGACTAAGATTTTGACATAATGCTTATGTTAAAGACCCTCAACCCCATCATATGTACAAATGTGATGAGATGCAAAGGGTCGGGAAAACGATCATTTAATGAAAAACAGAAAACACATTCGACAAAGTGACAACATAAACATGCAAACACTACAGAAAATACTTAAAACTGAGCAATGCGGACCTCACATAAAACTTTTAATCATTTCTGGTTTTCCGGTAGGTAATGCAGTCTCTGATACACTGGTATCAACCGTCGTGTTGTCCATTTTATAATTAGAAATCCAGTTTATTTTTGTATCATAATTAAGAAAAAAACCAATGAGATAAATGTTACCCGAGATATTCGAAACATAGACTTGTGAACGTAACTGTGTGTATTGCATTTTCATCATCTACCACTAAATTCTACCTTTTGATGCTTAAGATAATATCGAAACTTTGAAACTAAATATCGGAATCCGACATTATATCTGTCAGCTCAATCAATTATTTAAAAACGATTCCGTAAAATCTTGCTTCAGCGCGCAAAACACTTTTATTATTTTCAAATTAAACACAGAAAAACAGATCGTGCATAATATTATAGATAGCTAGTTTACATTATCAAAAGGATGTTTTTTTTAAATCAAATTATTTTGGTGGTATGCATCTTCTTGTGAACTTTGCTGAATTTGCATCTTTTATTCTAAAGGTATTCAAAAACGAAAAAGAGAGTGACAATCTACATGACACTAAACAGTTTCATGTTGAAGAAATATATCTAGATGATTTGACTTACTCAGTTTTTGTGCATAACGTTTAGCGTATACTGTGACAGTCATGAAAACAATTAGGAAAATAAGTGCATCTCCTCCTGAGAAAACCGTTATAAGATAACCATTCTTATTGTGGAAATATCATATAACCATTGAAGCTATGTTATAGATTTCTTCCAAAATAGGTATGATTCAAACAATTTCCTACAAAAACCAAAACTTATTTTTTCTATGACAGTCATGTATTGTTTTAGCTGAGAGCAAAATATAAGGTATTCATAAACAACTGTTAGATTGACATACTGCTCATGATGAAAACTTTAAAAGTGAAAAGTTGCAGATACCATTATGTTGAACATATAAACAATTTGTAACAACAATAATCCATCTATATTTACGTTAAACTGGAAACTAAAACAGTTCATTGATCATATTAAAAGCTTAAAAGGAAATGAATGAAAAAGCAATGACAATAATCACCAGGGCTGAAATGCATAAAACTACTTAAGTTAAGATTTGTTCCGAACGGACGGATTGTTCTACATGTCCTACGATAAATTAGTACTACGATTGGATATCCTAACTTAAGTGGTTTTATGCATATCAGCCCAGGACACTGAGCTATATGTTTTTTTTTTTTTTCAAATTGATACTTTATTGCACAACTTGCTGTTAACAATAACACTTAATGTACAGCATTCCATTCCACTGAGCTATAAAAGAAAATTAACAGGCAGGTATTTTAGCCTAGAACAGTAGATAAAGACAACAGTAGTGTACCGCTATAAATCGATTGAGAGAAAACAAATCCGGGTTACAAACTAAAACCGAGGGAAACTCATCAACTATAAGAGGAAAACAACGAAATAACAGAACACAGAAGTGCAACAAAAACAAACAACAATGCAACATTCATAGAAACGAACTATTAGATAACAACTGCCATATATAGATATAAGAAGATGTGGTATGAGTGCCAATGAGACAACTCTCCATCCAAGTCAAA